GGATAGGTGTTAAAATTCCTTTTTAAGTTTTGCTTCCTTCTAAGCCAAAATACCTCATTGCTCAAATAATTGCCCTTTCTGTTTTAGGGTTTATGGGCAAATTTTGCATTGTGTTCAAAATTTAAGGCCTGAAGAAGGTTTTCTACCCACATATTGTCAGTTAAATATATATAATCCTATTGTAGCAGTCTCTTAAGAATGGAGCAACCTGGTAATAATAGTTGTATTAATGAGTTAATGCAACCTTTACAAACTTTAAATAAAAAAGAAAACCCATTTGCTTCTGCATTTAAAAATATGGCAGAAGTAGAGGAGAAAAATGATGATGGCACAATTAACTGGAGCATTGTGTTAGGTTGTCCCAGTATTATAGTTATAGGTTTGCTGTTAGACAAACTTTTAGTCCTAAATTCAAAATAATTAGTCCTATATAACTAATGTTTAATTTAATGCTGCTTACTCATTCTTGCGTGTTTGACTCTGAGTTTTGAAAGAAAATTTGTTAAGCTTGACCATTTAATATGATAAAGTATTCTTAAATTTATATTATCTCTTTTATAATAATATCTGTTGAACCAGTTATAAGATCTTAAATTTTATATTTAATAATTTGATGCAATCATAAATTCTGTAGCATAAATGTGTAAAAAATCAAATTTGACTTTTATACAAAATAAGCTAATTTAGGTGCCTAGAAACGTTATTGAATAAATATTTTCAAAGAATTATGACAAAATTCATAAAAATTTTTATTTTAAAAAAATGTTTTACAAAGAGGTTTCTCTAATAATTATTTTTAATTGCGTTTTTCCTGAAATATGTAATAAGCATCTTAACGTTATACAAATATTTCTTTTAATTCAATCAATCAATGTAATAAGTCATGTTTTAGTGAGTACAATAGTTTTATTGTTTTACTTATATCTAATATTTAATAGTTATATACACTTATATTTGACTTCTTGCATTGATTGATTGCTTTTATTGTAATTTTTATGTAGCTAATTTTTATGTAGCTTCTTCTGCTTCAACAAGAAAGATGTTGTTCTCACATATAATTGACTCAATACATTGATTAATTGTTTTTATTACTATTATTTTTTTAATATTAGATTTTTTATAAGTAGTATCTTCCCTTTAAATAATTATGTTTATTCATGCTACATTAAATATGTCGCATGTTCTAAAACCAAGTCATTTGCATTACACATGCATAATAAGTCATTTGCATAACATTTGCATATACACATGCATAAACAAGGTATGTCATTGAATGAAAATTTCACAAATGTTATATTTGTAAATGTTCTTAATTTATAGTACTTGAAAAGTAATTTTATGTGTCATATGATGTGGTAATTAGTGTTTTTTTTATGTGCTATATGGATTTATATTTTGTTAGTGTTTCTACGTGTGTGCTGTTAGTAGTTAAAATATGAACAATAAACTCTGTATAATTCAATAACCCTTAACTTAAACTAATTTTAAAATTTCATTCGAGTCTTTATTTATGGATTATGCTGCCAATAACTCTAGCATACTTTAACAAGCTAATTTCTTGGTCCCCTTTAAGGTTGGAGTAATTTAGAGTTTACTGTAATATGCTATGTTATTTGTTAATTTAGTGATGTTATTTTTGTGTTGTTTTATGTTGATAGATTAGATGACTTGGTTCACTTTTACGTCGGGGTCTTTAATTTAAAATGATTATTGGGTAGTTTCATTACTTAAACTTACTACATATAATCATTTGCTAAATGCTATAAATTTAGTTTTTAAAAATAAAATAACTTCTTGCATTGATTGATTGCTTTTATTGTAATTTTAATTTTTATGCAGCAGCAATTCCTTTTGTTACAACAAGAAAGATGTTGTACTCGTTTATACTTAACTCAATACATTGATTAATTGTGTTTATTATTTTTTTTTTAATATTAGATTTTTTATAAGTAGTATCTCCCCTCTAAATAATTACATGTATATATATATATATATATACATATATATATATATACATATATATATACATATATATATATGTATATATATATATATACACATATACATATATATATATATATATATATATATATATATATATATATATATATATATATATATATATATATATATATATATATATATATATATATATATATATATATATATATATATATATGTATATATATATATATATATATATATATATATATATATATATATAAAAATGTATATATATAATTATTTAGAGGGAAGATACTACTTATAAAAAATCTAATATTAAAAAAATAATAATAAACACAATTAATCAATGTATTAAGTTAAGTATAAGTGAGTACACTTATACTTAACTCAATACATTAATCGCCTAACTATTGTTATATATAGAGATTTATAAAAAAGTAGTGGTATGGTTTATAATTTATAAAAAGGTGATGGGATGGCATCCCGCCTCACTTCGAGCACAATATATATATATATATATATATATATATATATATATATATATATATATATATATATATATATATATATATATATATATATATATATATATATATATATTCATTCAAATAAGAATATATTAAATATATATATAAATTATTCAAATAAGACACTTTTATTAACAATAATCAATGACAATATAAAAGGTAAGGGTCAAACATTTTATAAAATTGCTATTAATCTCAAAAAGCCTTGGTTTTTATAGAACCTATTTTATGTAGCCTGTTCTAAAACCAAGTCATTTGCATTACACATGCAAAACAAGTCATAATAATGCATAAAAAAAGTTGCATAACACCTGCATAACATTTGCATATACACATGCATAAACAAAGTTTGTCATTGAATAAAAATTTCACCAATGTTGTATTTGTAAATGTTCTTAATTTTTAGTTTTTGACAAGTATTTTTATGTCATATGATGTGGTAATTTGTGTTTTTATCATGTGTTAAATAAGGCTATATAACACATAATAAAATTTTGTTAGTGTTTTTCTATGTGTGTGCTGTTAGTAGTTAAAATATGAACAATAAACTCTGTATAATTCAATAACCCTTAACTTAAACTAATTTTAAAATTCCATTCGAGTCTTTATTTATGGATTATTCTGCCAATAACTCTAGCATTCTCTAACTAGCTAATTTCTAGGTCTCCTTTAAGGTTTGAGTAATTTAGAGTTTACTGTAATATGTTATGCTATTTGTTAATTTTGTGATGTTATTATTGTGTTGTTTTGTGTGGATAGATTAGATGACTTGTGTTGATAGATTAAATGATCTTATTTTGATCATTTATTTTTAGCCTTGCTTTTTTAAAAAGAGTTGTTAATCCAAACTTGCAACAATAGTAAAAATTGAAATCTTGAAACTTTCATAAAGTAAGTTTCTTATTTGTTATCTGTTTAGTCACATTTTTGAGTTTATAAAAGAGAATAAATAACAAATGTGTATTCAAGAATAATTTTGTTCAATTTTTAGGTCGAATTCCTTCTCCTATGACTGATTGTTCCTACATAGCAGAATTAAAGAAATATTCTGAATGTTGATTGTATTCAAAAAGCTAAAATGAAGCTTGATAATCTTCATACCATTTACTAAAAGATATATAATAATGAAAGAATGTTTCAATTTAAATTCTTTTTATAAGTATTATTGAATATAAACATTTTTGTAGTTTTTTTCTAAGTTTATTTTTTTATTCTCTATTTCTAAGTTTATTTTTATATTTCAAGAATTTTTTTTGTTTGTTTCTCAAATAAATTTCTATGTTTTTTGTCTATGGAATTATTGTTTTGAATGGATATTATAGGCTATTTTTGCTTTGTTTTTTATATTTCCGTTATCTTTTTATATTTGAATGGAAACATTTATACTTTTATCGTTTTTTGTACGATCAAGACGGTTTCCATTTGCATTAATTATTGATTGCACAAACATAAGTTTTAAAAATTTATTTACCTAATTCCGCAGTAAAAACAACTTAATTGCATGAATTTGTTAAGAGTTTTTTTACAGAAAGGCTTTTATAAAAAATATCAAACAGATAAAGCTTACTTATTTAAAACAAGTAAGCTTTATCTGTTTGATATTTTGATAGTTAAAATATTATTATCATAGCCTAAGTTTCCAAAAACACTTGAAAAAATGTTATGTAACTGTCTTATATGCTAAAGATAATTTTCATTTGTAAAAAATATTAAAGTAAATAATAATGTAATAAATAAAAATACTAAATAGTTCTGAAGTATAGTAAATTAAAAATTAACCAGAAGGCAAGAACTTTAGGTAGTCAGTAAAATGTAAACTACGTACATTTTAGTGAACCAAGACATTTTAATTAGCTATTTATAAAATACTAGCTCATCAATTTTTTAAATTAAATATAATGGTATTCTATATATATTATTTTTAAATTAGACTGTTTTCTTTTAAATTAATTATAATTTAACAAGCATTAGATATACGGTTCGCAAAAAAGTTCGCATTTTACCAACTACCAGAACTTTATATTTTGCCGTTTACTAAAATAAATTTAAGTATAAAGACTAAATTAGGAACAAGTTTAGACATAGTCAGATTAGACTTACCACAACCCGTATCATACGGGTCATGACAGGAAGTAACATTACTAATGTATATCATTTTTTGTTTAAAAAATATTTTTATAGATTAGAATTAAATGAAAGTAAATTGATAACTGTCAGTTTTATTTTTATGAAAATAATAGACAAAACATATACAAGTTTTAGTATGTGATTTTTCGGAAATACCCTAAAACAATTTGATTCACTAAAGAGGAAAAGGGGGGGGGGCGATTTTATGCAGATAATTTATTTTTAATTGCAAAGATAGCAAAGAAATTATGTGAATGTGTGAAATGTATTGTAGAAGAGAAGTTCACAAGCATTAGAGTAGTGACACAAAAAACATTTAAACTACTCAAGGGTAATAAACATAAAACCATTTCTATTATATATGAAAATAAATATATATACCTCTTTTTTAATAGCTAAATCTGTCATTGTATCTTTCAAAGAATCTTTTCCCTTCTTTTTAGGTGTCTTTTTAGAATCATAGTCATCAATTAGCTTGAAGCCACGCTTTGGAACAGGAGTTCTCTTTGACCTTCGAATGCTTTCATCATCCATATCTGCATCCCCTTAAATATTTATTTAAAGATATTCAGTTATATAAAACTTGTTAGATATCTAAAAAATATAAAATTTAAATTCAAATGATTATTATTGGTTCATTATCAAAAGTTATCAACAAAATAATATATAAAATATAATCTAAATCTAGATTTTTCTTGATCTAACTATGTTAGATAACTACATTTTTTCAATACAAACTTAATTACTCTTTTATTTTATTATAACATTAATGAATCCTTTCAAAAAGAAAAAAAAAAAAAAAAAATCTACCCAAATTTGTAGATGTTCAGAGGGTAGATGTTTATATTTAAAAAAGAAATATTTATGTAAAAAGGTTAAATATTTTTGTTAAAATGTTAAATGTAAAGGTTTACTATAAAAGACTAACCCTATTAGTTTAAGCTATGTTTAAAACAATATTGAATATATAGTAGCCATAAACTAATATTGCATATATTGCAAAATATTTTTGTATACCACATATGATTTATTAAACTAATACTGTAAAAAAATTCACCTGTTTTAGACATAGAGACTTCTTTCAGATATTGCTGATAGCTTTTGCGTGTTTCACGCTTGTGACCTTCCTCGAAGGAAAATTTTTTTTTTTCACTCATGCATAAAAAATCTTTTCAATTGATTTTCCATTTTGATTTTATACTGAAATATATATATATATATATATATATATATATATATATATATATATATATATATATATATATATATATATATATATATATATATATATATATATATATATATATATATATATATATATATATATATATATCTTTTAGTAAATGGTAGGAAGATTATCAAATAAAGCAAAATTATATAAAAATTGCAAAAATATCAATCATTTTATAAAAACATTATTTTGAATTTTTTTGCATAAAACATGACTTTTTTTAACTAAAATGAAAAAAATTATTTTTTGATTTTGATAGGAATCTTTAATTTATTGATCTGAAATATAATATATGTTATTTTAAAAAATGGTATGCCTTAAATAAGTTTTTTTACAAACTTCATTCTAAACCTGTTGATTTTCTGTATATATTATGAGTTTTTTGATTATAATTTTTTTTTGATGTTTATTATAAAATCATTATTTATTTTGATGTATTTCATAAAACGATTGATGTTTTAGAAATTTTTATATAATTTTGTTTTATTTGAGACCCAATAAGACATGCTTTTGTATTTTAATAAGTGCGCTTTTAAATGTTCTAAGGTCTTAGGGCACCTCTTAAAGTACTTTTTTAATAAAAAAATTTTTAAATTTATTGTTTTTAATATATTTTTATATATAAATATACATTTTATATATATAAATATATATCAGTCTGTTTTAAATTTAAAGCCACAAAAGAGCGTTTGCAGGATGATCATTTTTATTTTAGCATGCGCGATTTTAAAAATTCATTTTTTTCTGCTATTTAAATTAAAATTAAAATAGCGAAAAAAATGCTTTGAAAAATTACTAGATAAAATAATTAAACAAAAAAATGGCAAAATAAAGCCATTTTTCATAAAACTTGAACAAATGAACAAAAAAGTTGTTGCAATTTAAAACAAAACGTATTTTTTGGTAAGCGCTTTTCTATGCGCTTGCCAAAATTTTGCGGGCGAGCGCAAAAGCACTGACTAAACAGAGAAGACTGATATATATATATATATATATATATATATATATATATATATATATATATATATATATATATATATATATATATATATATATATATATACACACATATATATATATACACACATATATATATATATATATATATATATATATATATATATATATATATATATATATATATATATATATATATATATATATATATATATATATATACATATATATATATATATTAGTGATGTACCAATTAATTGGTATCAGCATCGGCTAAATCAGCCATTTTTTGCACAATTGGTATCGGCATCGGCCTTTTTTACCAATTTTCCAACCGATGGCATTTTGATATTTTTATCCTGCATTATTATAATAATTAAATAATAAATAAACTAAACTTTGTGCATTACTTAGAATTTTTTGGATAAATTTTTATTTTGACTTAGTTTACAGGCAAAAGCTTTAAAGGTAACCTATTTAAGCATTGTTATATATATATATATATATATTTTTTAATTCTTTTTCACTCCCAATAAGGCTTCAAGCAACCACTATCAAGTTGGGAGTTGCTAGAAAAAAAGAGCAGAGTTATAGAGCAATGAAGTGGTTGACAGAAGACTTAAAAAGTTGAAGGTTATATGAGTCAGAAAACATGAAGATGGGACAGAGTTCCGAAGGGTTGAAGTGCATGGAAATAAGCTAGACAAATAAACATTTTTGGAGCATGAAGAGACAGATACAGACGAAGAATGAGACTTTGATGTCAAGTCAAGCAAGAATGAGTATTGATTGATGGAACTAAAGATGAAAGCTTCTTTGAGCAGCAACCATGATAGTATTTGTAGAAAAGAGAAAGAGATGCAACTTTACGATGATGGGAAAGAGGCTCAAGCTTTGCAGATAGACCGGGTTTAACTCTGTTTACAATGCATTTTTAAACCTTATCTTGAAGAGAAAGAGCATCATTAGAAGAACCAGGCCAAATATGATAACAGTATTCCATACAAGGACGAATAAGAGATTTGTAGAGGTAGGGAATGGAATCAGGAGAGAGAAAATGGTGAGCATGATAAAAAGAAGCAACCTTAGCAGATGCTAATTTAGTAACCGATTGTATATATGGTTTCCATGAAAAGTCAGTAGTGAATGATAAACCAAGAAGATGTAAAGAAGTGGAATCAGTGAGATGGTTGCCATTCATCAATAGAGGAATGTCGACAGTACTACAATAGTTATTTGTCTGACAGCAAGTTATTTGACTCAAGATGGAATATGAGAAATTTGTTTATCAAAGACTCAAAGACCTTGCTAATAACAGAAAGAAGACTGATTGGACAATAATCGGAGGGGTCAGTAAGTTTAACAGAGTGTTTAAAAATTAGAACAACAAATGCCATTTTCCAGCAGGCAGGAAAACAAGATTCAGTCAAGCACTTATTAGTTTAAAGAAAATTGAAGAGAGTTCTGGTGAACAATTTTGTAAGACTGTGACAGGAATGTTGTCTGGACCACAAGCCATAGAAGAGTTTAATTGAGATATGACTATGAGTAATGGAAGCGGAAATGATTTGAATGTCTAAAAATGGGTTAACTTGTTTAATTAGAATGGAAGGAAGAGAATGGCCATAAGATTCGAAAGTCGGATTAAAAGAGAATTTCTTTGCAAATAGTTCAGCCTTATTTCATGAATTTAAGTATAGCCAAGTACCAAGTATATTTCTATATTTTTAATTTTATTTAAATTCACCTTCCTAAGGCCACAAAGGTCACTTTAATTGAGGAGGCTACTTTAGTTATGGTTACAACACACTTTCAACTTTAGAACTCAGAAACACAAACCTTGATGAACAATGCCGCTGCGTGTAGAAACAAGTTAAGCGCTGTACTACCAGGGACGTGGTGGGGATCCAACATTACAAATTAAAATAATTCTAAAAACAATTTGTTTATCTAAAAATAATTTATGTCTAAACAACATATGATTGTTGTTTAGATATCTGAATTACTAATAAATTAATAAAAAATTCTAAGTAAATTGCATATGCATATTTTCTTTTTTAAAAATTAAAATAAAAAGTGTTCTTAAATTGTATTTATTTTTTTGAAAGTTTTTTTTTCATAGTAAAAAAAAAATTAAAATGAATATTTTTTTAACTGAGTTTTTCTAATATCTTTTATTTGTTTACCAATATTAATTTAAAGTTGTATGGTTTTATATTTTAAAATTTTTAATAATTAGTAAATTCATCAGTAATGGCATCAGTCTTTTCCCATTCATCGGCACCGGTATCGGCATCGGCCAAAAAAGTGATATCGGTACATCACTAATATATATATATATATATATATATATATATATATATATATATATATATATATATATATATATATATATATATATATATATATATATGTATATATATACAAACGCATATATATAGCACATATAGCAACTGTCTGCAAAATGCTAAACCCTTTAGAATATAAATTTCAAAAGCACAAAACCTAAGACATATTCCGGAAAAAATCTGCCTGGACATTTTAAAGGATATTTATTTAACTATTGTATTTTGATATTGAATGCCATATATATTTTGAAAGTTCATATTTTAATATTCTAAAATTTTACTTAATAAAGTTTGCAGAGTTTTGTTCGTGAGAACTCACGCACGTTGCATTTTACACTCATTTCAGTTTCTTGCGATTAATTGCTGAATAATATTGTTGTCCTTGAAAAGATTTGAAATATGCAACAAAATAAGTTTCATCGTCAATAATCAATCAAGATTTTTGGCACATAATTTTTTATAGAACAGCTTTGAAGAACGAATTGCAACATTTTCTTGCTTTTCTTCATGACAAGAAACTTTTTTCTTTTTATAAGATTTATAGCCGAAATATCTCTTCACTCTTGTATAATAGAAGCACTTGTCTTATATTTATTAGCTACAGTTCGAATGGAAATCTCCGGTTTTCTGCCTAAGGCATCTTTCACTTTTTTACCAAGATCTTTTCTAAAAAAACATTTTTTTCGCCCACTTCCAAATTCTCTTTTGATTGTACTAGTGTTCTTAAATCGTTTCACAACGCTCTGCACTGTATGCATAGAATTATTGTTTTATAAACACTAAAATCTGCACTGTAAACTGTGTCAAAGCAATGTGCAACTCTTTAGAAATTGTTTTGTTTTGATACAAAAGGATTTTACAAGAGAAAATGCAAAATATTTTCTTACTTCTTATCTCGATTTGATGACATTTCAATTAAAACTAAATGTTTTGGTTGTTTAAATTTTGAATAACACTAATACGATGACATTTTGAAACAATTAGCCATTTTTTATTTTTTTTTAACATCTTTGCTTCCAACAAGGCTGCAAGCAACCACTAATTAGTGTTGGAAGTTACTGGAAGAGAAAAGATAAAGATTATATAGCAAGATAACGATGACAGACAGACAGAGGACTTAAAAGACTGCAAATTATATGAATTAGGAAAGCAAGATGAAGGAAGTGAATTCCAAAGAGGAAAAAAAATAGACGAATAAGAGTGTTTAGAGCACTTGGGAACAGTCACAAAAGAAGGATGAAACTTAATTGAATGGCGAGTAACACGAGAATGAATTTTAGTAGATGGCACAAGAGACCCTAGCTCTTTAGAGCAGTGCCCATTACAGTATTTGTAGAAAAGAGAAAGAGAAGCAACATTACAAAGATGTGACAAAGGTTGAAGGTTAGCTGCAAGAGCAGGTCTAACTATATTTACAATGCGATTTTGCACCTTATCTAAAAGAGAAAGGGCATCATTAGAAGATCCGCCCAAGATATGGTAACAGTATTCCATACAAGGCCAGATTTGAAATTTATAGAGATAGAGAATAGAATCCAGAAAGAAAGAAAGTCTTGAGCTCGATTAAGAGATGCAACTTTAGCAGATGCTAATTTTGCAACAGATTTGATATAAGGTTTCCAAGAAAGATCAGAAATAAGTTAGAAGATGAAGAGTAGTAGACTCATCGA